CGGGGCTGAGGCGGCGCAGGGCGCGGTGTGGGGCCGGGCTGGATCCTGAAGGAATTATGTGGGTTTATCTATTTTTATTTAAATTTAAAGTAGTGTTTTCACGCTTCTGCGCAGCACGTATCACGCCCCTTGCATGCTGCCCGCGCAGCGCTGGCGCAAAGCTCTCTTGCCTTTGTTCTTGCTTGTCTTCCAAGTGAAAATATGTTTGTTAAAAAATAACTTTAACATAATACCGTCGTGTCTGTTAGAAAAGCATCTGGGCGGTTAATAATCAACAAACAAACCGCAACGTACAGGGCAAGGTGAGCCTGGGTACGTACCCTCCCTAAAACTGCACCTGCCCCAGGAGAACGTTCAACTAAAGCACACCCAGAGACCACCACAAAAGCCCCACGAGACCACGTGTGTAATCGAGATGCAAATATGATAATAAGCTCTGGGAAATCATCTGAATATTCTGAGAAATGTAATGCATATGTACGTAACCAGAGGTGCTCTCCTGCAAGCAGCACCTGAGCTCTGAGGTGTGAACCTCCGCGCGCTGTGAATGAGGCACGCTCACTCTGAAATGCCCGAACGAGCCTTAGGGAGGTTTTTCTATTTGGTGACATTACAGTGACAGTGCAGCGTGCTTCACAGATATCTCCTGTTTCCTGACACGTGCAGGGCGCTGCGTTTTTGCCCCTCTACTCTACCCTGGTGAGGCCACATCTGGAATATTGTGTCCAGTTCTGGGCCCCACAGTTCAGGAAGGACAGGGAACTGCTGGAGAGAGTCCAGCACAGAGCCACGAAGATGATTAAGGGAGTGGAGCATCTCCCTGATGAGGAAAGGCTGAGGGAGCTGGGGCTCTTTAGCTTGGAGAAGAGGAGACTGAGGGGTGACCTCATTAATGTTTATAAATGTGTTAAGGGCGAATGTCAGGAGGATGGAGCCAGGCTCTTCTCAGTGATGCCCAATGGTAGGACAAGGGGCAATGGGTGTGAGCTGGAACACAGGAGGTTCCGCTTCAACTTGAGAAGAAACTTCTTTACAGCGAGAGAGCCAGAGCCCTGGGACAGGCTGCCCAGGGAGGGTGTGGAGTCTCCTTCTCTGGAGACATTCAAGACCCACCTGGACGCCTTCCTGTGTGATCTCATTTAGGTTCCTGCTCTGGCAGGGGGGTTGGACTGGATGATCTTTTGAGGTCCCTTCCAATCCCCAACATTCTGTGATTCTGTGATCCCTGCAGAGTGGCCAGCTTGTTGCACGCTCTCTTACCTGCGGTTACATGCCGTTGTGGGCTTTCCTTTGCACGTGGGTGGCACGTGTCCTTGCACACCAGTGTGTGCTGTTCACGCTCACGGTGTTTGCACTGTGTGACATGCCGAGTCCATGCTTTCTTGCGTTCCGGTGCGTATTATTTTTAGCTTTGCTGGAATGCTGCTTCCCTGTCACGCACAGCAGTGTGTTTTTGTTGCTGATTTAGCCCCATCCAGCCCCAAGGGGCCCCAGTTTTCCCTGCTGCAGTAGGATGGACACCTGCAAACTGGTGCTGTGTCTCAAAGAGAGGTAGAGCAGACACAGCTCCCTGGCCTCTCCCCTTAGACACTTATTTTTGACACCGCTTGCTGGTAGCTGAGCCCGGGCTGCTGCGAGCACTCCAGCTCCAGCCCTTCTCTCTACAGACACCCAGCACAGCTCAGCTGTGCCCAGCTCTGGCTGGGCTCCTACAGAGGCCATTCAAGGAAGTGAGAGAAATAGCCCAGGAAAAAACCAACCAAACAAACAACCCAAACACTAAGATCTTCAGTTTTCCCAGGTGTTTAAAACCCACCCAGCCGTGCTTGCAGGGCTGCCCATGTTTCCCGCAGGGTTTTCAGCTTGGCTGGCCCATGCATTTGATGGATGTGATAAGACCAACTCCCTCAATGGCCCGGCAGGTTTGAATCCAGCCTGGGATGGTTTCCCTCCTGCACTGACATTATTCCAGGCTCTGTAAATTCCTGGTTTATGGCACCACGTGGGAATGGCCCTGAAGCCTTTGGCTGGTGTCAGCTCCTGCATCTTGTGCCTGTGGCAGCTCCCAACTGGCCCAGTCCAGGCTGCCCTCATCATCCTCAGCACAGGAACCTTTTTTCCTGCAGAAGTGATGGTCAGATTTGCAGCAAGTGCCATGTTTCTCACACTGTTTTGGGCTGGTTGGGCTTGTGGTGCCAGCTGCATCCATGGGCGCTTGCCTCGGCACTCGGGGGGCTTTGCTGGATCCCACCTAACACCCATGGCACACAGGCTTCACCCAGGCAGCCAGGCTGGGGGGACCTTGGGTGCTCTGAGCTGCTCCAGCACATGCTGGTTGTTGCAGTCTGCAGGATTTATCCTGGACCCAACCTGAAACAACTTGAGGTTCTCCTCCCCCTCTACTCTGCCCTGGTGTGACCACATCTGGAGTATTCTGTCAAGTTCTGGGCTCCTCAGTTCCAGAGGGACAGGGATCTTCTGGAGAGAGTCCAGTGGTGGCCACAAAGATGATGAGGGGCCTGGAGCATCTGCCTTACCAGGAGAGGCTGAGAGAGCTGGGACTGTTCAGCCTGGAGAAGAGCAGCCTGAGAGGGGATCTGATCAATGTCTATAAATATCTGAAATGTGGGGGCCAAATGGATGGGGCCGGGCTCTTTTCGGTGGTGCCCAGTGACAGGACAAGGGGCAGTGGACAAAAACTGGAACACCAGAAGCTCCAGACAAACTTAAGGAAAAACTTCACTGTGAGGGTGTTGGAGCCCTGGGACAGGCTGCCCAGAGAGGGTGTGGAGTCTCCATCTCTGGAGATGTTCAAACCCACCTGGACACTTTCCTGTGTAACCTGGTGTAGGGAGCCTGCTCTGGCAGGGGGGGTGGACCGGATGATCTCCTGAGGTCCCTTCCAACCCCACCATTCTGTGATTCTGTGACTCCAAACCCTTTTGCAAACTGCAATGTGGACCCTCATGCCCGAGACTCCTGGCTGTGTCTCCCAGAGCTGCTGCAGGAGCTGCACGCTCGCTCGAGTTTTGTTTGGTTGTAGTTCCAGCTTTCTGTAACGAAATTCAGTTTTGCACTTGAAGCCTGGCAGGCAGAGCTGCAGCAGCAGCCCTGTGGCTGGCAGCAGAGCGAGCTCCCAGCCCTGTGGTGTCCTTCTCAGCAAGCAGGGACAGAGAGGGATTGTCCCAAACTCCTTTCAGCAGCTCTGCAAGCTGCATGGAGCCATCCAGTGGAGTGGATCCGTAAGGAGCTGCAGAGGGAAGGGCACCTCTGGTAGGGGAGGGAAGGGAAAGGTAATCCCAGGCCAACTGGAAGAGTCTGCTCCACGAAGGATAGGAGGCAACAGGATTTTTATGGTCTTTCTGTTCAGGCATAAGCTTTTAAAGGACCTCTGGCTGTGCTTTGCTTTGATTCTGGGGAATATGCCTTTTCATTATTCCCTCGCGGCTTGTTTAGCTGCTTGTAGCCAGTTTTGTCTGTTCCCATCACAAAAGGCACATCCAGAATACACAGGACGTACCCCTGAGAACAGCACCGTCAGAGGCTGGGCAGCAGCACCAGAGTCCTCTCACTGCTCTGTGGTACCTTGTGCTGTATGAAAATAACCAAAGAGTGCAGTGGTGCTCTTGTTCCTGCGTTCTGGACTCTGGGAGGGCTGAGGCTGTTGCCCACCAGCACGGCCCAGCTGGCTGCAGCTCAGCACTTGGGGTCTGCTGAGCACAGAGGCTCCCTGAAGCTTTGGGGACATCGTAGGTGCAGGGGAGCCATCGGGCAGACGTGCAGAAATGATAGCAGGGAGGCAGAGGAGGATCTTTGCTGCAGCAGAGGCCTGAGCAGGTTGAGGGGATTCAAAATGCTACAAAGAGAAGCTGGGAGCAAGAAAAGCTTTTTCTTGAGAAAGAAAATAAACTGTTGGTAGGCTGAGGTATGCCCCAAACCCTTGCTATGCCCAAACCCTTGCTATGCCCAAACCCTTGCTATGCCCCAAAACTAAGTTGCAGACTGGCTCAAATGTGGGGAAGTGTGACAGGTGGGCACTGTGAAACATGGCAGTTGTGGAAGGTGAGATGGTAGAGCAGACAGACCCATCTCTTCACTGTAGATCACACCCCTTCCCCTTACCACCTCTGCATCTCCTCCCAGCTGACTCGGGGAGCCTGCTAGAGGCTCAGCAGCTCAGAGTCTTATAGGGTCAACTCTGCCTGTGGGGCTGAGAAAGGAAAACCAACCAGGAGCAGCACAAATGTACAAAACAGCTCATGTTTACTTCCAGCATTGTTCCCAGCAGGTAAGTTACCCCTCCTCTCAAACAGAAGTCTTACACCTTTCCCAGTCCCAGAGCAGTGCAGTTCAGTAGTCAACAGGCTTAAAGCCATTTCCCATCCTAATGACAGAAGCGATCTCTCAGCTTGTTGGACCTCAAAGAGAGACCCAAGCAGCAAAATGGAGCAGGTCACTTCCAGCAAAGACAAGAAGCAGCAGCGCTTTTCTCCCTGGGTCACCCCACGGAGCCCCAGGACCAGCAGCAGCTGCCCTGGTTTCTCTCAGAGGGGGGGCACCCCCCTGAATTTGCGGATGATGTTGGCCAGCCGCTTGGCCAGCCCACCCCGGCTCGGCTCTTCCACGTGAAACGTTCTGGTCAGCAGGTTGTAAAAGGAGCCATAGCACACGGCCACCACGGTGCAGGTCAGGCAGATGACGTTATAGGGCATGCTGAAGTCTGGCGTCGGCAAGTTCACCAGCAGCGGCTCTGTGTACAGGCGCACAAAATAGCTGGAGCCGTCAGAGGAAGGAAACCTGGAGAGTGGAAGCAGGAAAGGGACCATCAGCTCGCACAGGACGGCTGTTTCGTGCTGACTGGACAGGATGACAGGGGCCAGCAGCCCGCAGGTGCTGTGGTACAGCCCCGCTCCCCAGCACAGGCACACTCACAGCGAGGTGAAGAGAGGGCTCTCCTCCACATCCGTGTCCTTCATCGCAATGACGCTGGGCACCAGGGCACTAAGCACAGATGAACTAAGGAGACAAAGGCCATGTTAATGTCAGTCCTGACAGCAAAGAGACAGCAAGAGTTCTTCCCATCCCCAGAGACCTGGGCAGCAAGTCCCAGAAGGGGACAAGGAGCTGAGGTATGTCAATACCCAACATAGAAGCCGTGATTGGGGTCAGGTGGGTACTCTGTCCACTTCAGTAAGGCTCTCTCAAACTGGATCGTGATCTTGGTGACAGAGTTGGCTGGGAGCTGGATCAGCATTTCCAAGAGGTGAGGCCGTCTCCGGTCCTGGGCTGGCTGGTAGTGGATGTAACCTAACCCCAAAGACATGTGTCAGTGGCACTGGGGGGACTTTGTCCAATCTCACATTGCCTGGACATCTCCCACAGGGTGGGTGCTCCTGCTTCCGCTGTGCTGGGAGAGGTTTTCTGAGCAAGTGAAGATGCACAGGTAGCAAAAAGCATGTGTTAAAGCTAAATCTGGTTGGTCTTTAGAGCTGATGACCCATGAAAGTCAGGTGTTCATAGGAAAAGGTACAAATGCAAAATAAGACACAATCATCAGTTTTAAATCGAGCCTCCTTTACTACAAAAGTCAATTCACTTTGGTTTAGATTATTTGGTTGGATTATGAAACACTGTCCATGTGCTTCTTATAAAACAGAGTTAATAAAGTCTCCTCTGCTGTGAGTGCTGAAGACTAGGAAAACACCCCAAGATGTTTTGTTTCCCAGTCCAGTTTCCCAGTGATCACTAGGGCCCAAGGGAGGGACTAAACCATCTCTGGAATGAGCAGCTTGTGCCAAGGAGAACCAGGTGGCATGTGCTCCCGGGAGGGTTTACTTACTTGGCTTGTTTTCCTTCCCCTTTGTGATGATAGTCAGAGTGTGTGCATAGAGTCGCAGATACCAGGGCACAGTCTCCAGCAGGATCACGGGGAAAGCCCGGTACGGGTGAGTGTTGTAGATGAGAGTGCTGATCTCTCCGGTCTGCAGCCCGTAGCCACTCACGTAGCGCTGAGCATGGAGTACGGGTGTCGGCAGGTCCGCTGCGAAAAAGGACACAAATGGGGGATTTTTTTAGGCCTGGAGCCCTGTCAGGTGGTGCAGCTGGAGTGAAGTTCTGGTTACTCACAGCTGTCTTGGGGCCGCTTCCACTTCAGCTGCACGTTGAGGCTGCGCGATGTATTGAAGAGCGAGGGGCTCAGCAGGTCATAGACAGCGTAGGTTTTCTTGTCTCCCTGGACAACAGCTTCGTGTACAGAGGCTGGAGGTGGGGTCACTTCCAGTAACTTGTTTTCCTGAGAAAGAAGTGGACCATGAAAGGAGAAGTGCCCCTTGAAGTAACTGGCAGCACTGGGCAAAGCCCCTCCAGCTGGCCCTGAGCTTGAGCTTTTCCACCCAACAGCCAACTCAGCACTCTTACTACCACCACCACACTCATCCCCACAGCCCTGCTCAGAGGAAGGAAACCACCTCCCTTTATCAGCCCCAGAGGACTCTTGAGCAGGCAGGGGCTCCTGGGGGGTGGGTGAGGATGTTTCAGAGCCACACAAAGTGGCTGAACTGAGGAAGCAGGGGGTGTTCTCTGGTCTGTAAGCATTACCTTGTTCTTAGGGGAGATGTCAACATAGACTCTGCTCTGCGATGCCAGAGGACACGCGTCAGTGAGTGTGCGAGAGAACATCCTAAAGAGGGACCAGTCTGTGGGAGGCAAAGTCAGTGGCAGTCAGAGTGAAGGGCACAGGCTGGGAGACTCGAGGAGTGCAGTGCATGGCTGCCAAGCTTACCTTTCTTTCCTTGGCCACTGGAAAAGGTGTCAAAGACCACAGTGAGGGTCTGTCTGAGCTCCCAGGACACAGCCAGGCAGGAGGCATCCTGGACAAGAGAAAGACAAGTGGCTCTGATCACACCTTCTGGAGAGGCAGGGCACCAGGAGGGAGCTGGAACTCCACCCAGACTGCAAGAATCCCATCGGGACACAGATGAGACCAGAGAAGCAGGATGACAGCGGCAACAGAGACAGTGAACCCACCACAGGGGAGCTGGGCAAACCACTGTGTCACCTTGCAGCATCACAAGAAGGCTGCTGATTTTCTCTTGGGTGGGTTAAAGGAGGGAGGCCTGAGCCTCACACTTACCCTGCAGATGGGGCGGATGTGCACGGCCTGTGAGTGGTAGCTGCTGTGGAACAAGCGCTCGGCCTTCAGCAGCACAGCAAGCCCAGCCTGCAGGGAGAAAAGGAGGAACTCAGCCCCAGGCCTGTTCTCTGTTCCCACGGAGAGAAAGGCCCTGCTGAGACTTCCCAGTGCGTGTTCCCGGGTTGCTGTTGGAAACCCAGCTCCATCGGGAGCAGCCTAACGAGGCAGCAGGACTTGCCATTACCTTTGAGCCACACGGGAGCAGCTTCTTCCAAGGTGTGAGGTTCTCTGTGCAGACCACCTCCCGGGGCAGGACAGCATACCGCAGGAGATGATGATCTGTCCCTGGGCAGGGAGGTGGAAGGTCAACAGGCTGGTACTGCTACAAGCACAAGAGCAGAAGCAGACCTGTTCCATCTCCCAGTGTACAACACAGCCCATCCACCCTCTCAATACGCCTGGAATGCCATGAGCTCCATCAGGAATGGATCCCACTCTGTTCTGAGGGATTTGGAAAGAATAGGTAAGGGTATCTCCTAGATTTTTTTTCCCTGAGCACTTTAAATCCTCCAGTCCCCACTAGCTGTTTCGTAAAATGCTCTTCAGAGAGACAGATGAGGGCCTGGGAACATCTGCCACGTACTGCTTGTGGGTTTCCTCTGTTCAAGTTTGAGCCTCATTTGTAGGGAGAGGAACTGCCTCCAAGAATCACAGAATGTTGGGGATTGGAAGGGACCTTGAAAGATCATCCAGTCCAACCCCCCTGCCCGAGCAGGAACCTAAATGAGATCACACAGGAAGGTGTCCAGGCGGGTCTTGAATGTCTCCAGAGAAGGAGACTCCACACCCTCCCTGGGCAGCCTGTCCCAGGGCTCTGTCACCCTCACTGTAAAGAAGTTCCTTCTGAAATTTAAGCAGAACCTCCTGTGTTCCAGCTCACACCCATTGCCCCTTGTCCTACCATTGGGCATCACTGAGAAGAAGGGAGGAACAGGCCCTGTTGTACATACCCAGACACAGAGTCCTCACAGGACCTGCCCTCAGACTCCCTGCAGTGGCACAGGGCAGAACTAAAGCTAGAGACAAGAGTGAGAGGGCAGAGTTGGGCGGCCAAGCACTGGCCGGGCTCACCGTTGGCTAAGCCCAGGGGTTTGAAGGATGCCGTTGGAGTGACCGTGTTGGTCGAGTCAATGAAGTTGAGAGAAGCACAGAATATTCCCGAGAGGATGTTACTCAGTTCTTTCCAGGCTTTGTCAACACTGTTTGAGGACAAATACCGGTGATTACTCATCAGCTCGCATCCTCGGAACAAGCAGCATGAAGTCAGTAATATTCAATAAACACACCGGGGTGACCATGCTGCGTTCAGAAGCTGCAAGGAATGAGCAGGTAGAGGCTGCTGCTCGTGCACTCTCCAGCTCTCTTGGTATTTCACTCTAACGCGTGAGATCTGGGGGCCGTTCACTGCAGGGGCAGCAGGGGTGATGGGTGCAGCTGCTATGTGAAGAGAGGAGCTGGGGGAGCAGGGAGCATGTGGGAGGTGATGTGTGTCGTACTGGGAAGGGACTGTGAGATCTAAAGCAACACCTTGGTGCAGCTCTGAAGGCTGACCCGACCAGCAGCCCCAGAATGGGTCACTGGTAGGAAGGAGAGAGCTCTGGGAGCCCACGCAGAGCTACTGCAGCTCAACCAGGGGCTGTGTCCTAAGGGAGATGGTGACAGGTACTGGATGGGACTCAAAGGAAGTGAGTCATAGATTAGAGGTCAAGATATAACCCCTGCAGTGAGGGGTCTGTCATCACATAGCCCATAAGGAAATTACTTGTTCCTTTAGCAAACAAGGGTTTTCCCCCAGCACCACATCCTGCCCTGGGTGCTGAGCGGGGCTACGTTCTGCTTTTCCTTAGAGCTGCTCCCGGGGTTGCAGGCTCTTCATTCCAGTGGACATGCTCCAACCCAGGAGGTCCCTGCACGCGTCGTGGCTGCCTCGTGTGAGAAGGGCAAGGGCTCCCAGGAGCCGCAGAGGGGACCCGGAGAGACAGAGCCGTGGCCAGGGT